AAAACATCAAAGTATTAAAAGCAGATGTTATTCTCCATTTTTTTTTTATCTTATTGGGATGTTTCATACTTTGAGTCATGTGTCCTAGTAAACATTTATCATTTTATGCTCCTTATTTCTGAGGAGATTTCTGTGATTGTTTTAATGACCACCTCTTGTCCTTGAGCATGCAGAGGAGTAAATCTTTAGCTCTGTAGAGAATAAGCTGATTGTGTGACTTCCAAGACTAATGGTGTAATCATGTACAAACATAAATAAAGCAGAACAAAGGCATTAGGGGTCGCTCTCGCAGAATATGCAGGGCATCTGCCTGGCCCCTGTTCCTTTTAAATAATAATAAAGAAAACCATTAATCTTTTCATGTCATTTATTTCATGACCTGTGTGGTTTTGCTGGATGTGACACTAAGTATAAGTGCAAAAAACCATAAAACTGTTAGAAAAAATTAGGGTGTATCATTATGACCTTGAGTTTGGCAATGGTTTCTTACATATGACACTGAAAGCACAAGCAACAGAAGAAAAAATAAATTGAATATCATCAAAATTTAAAAATTTTGTGCATCAAAAGGCACTATCAAGAGAGTGCAAAGATAGTTCATAGAATGAGAGAAACAAAACAAAACAAAATAACCAAACTCAATGCCATTGAGTCGAATCTGACTCCTAGCAACCCTTTCTTGGGTTTCCAAGGCAGTATCACTATGGAAGTAGATGGCCCAAACCTTCCTCCCAGGGAATGGCTGGTGGGTTTGAACTGCCAGCCTTCTGGTTAGCAGTCAAATGCCTTAGGCACTATGCCACCAGAGCTCCCAGAATGGGAGAAAGTATTTGTAAATCATATATATGATAAGGGAGTTCTGGTGGTGTAGTGCCTAAAGCACTTGACTGCTAACCAGAAGGATGGTGGTTCAAATCCACTAGCCACTCCTCAGAAGAAAGATTGGGCAATCTACTTCCACAGAGATGTTGTTGTTGTTGTTCTGTGCCGTCGAGTTGGGCCCGACTCATAGCGACCCCTCTTTGGGTTTCCGAGGCAGTATCACTACGGAAACCCAAGCAGGGGTCACTATGAGTCAGATCTGATTCGAGGGCACATAACAACAACAACAACAATGTATCTGATAAAGGTATAATATCCAGAATGTAAGATCCTTTACAACTCAATAACGAAGAGATAAACAACCTAATTAAAAAATGGGCAAATGGTTTGAACAGACATTTCTCCATACAAATAGCCAATAAACACATGAAAAGATGATCAGCATCATCAGTCATTAACAAACAAACAAAAAAACAAACTAGTCACCATTGAGTCAATTCCAAATCATGGTGATTCCATGTATGTCTGAATAGAAGTGTGCTCTATAAAGTTTTTAATGGCTGATATTTTGTGGAAGTTGATTGCCAGGCCTTTCCTAGAAGGCACCAGTGGGTGGGCTTGATCTTCCAAAGTTTTGGTTAGCAGTTGAGCATGTTAGCCATTTGCAACACCCAAGGACCCCTTATTAGTCATTGCTGTAGGATGCTGATTCATAGCAAGCCCATGTGACAGAGTAGAACTGTCCCACAGAGCAGATCATCAGGTGTTTCTCCTGCAGAGCCACTGGGTGGGTTTGAACCACCAGCCTTTCAGTTGGCCACCCAATACTTAGCCATCGCATCACCAGAGCTCCTTAGGGAAATGCAAATCAAAACCACGATGAGATATAATTTCACACCCACTAAGATGGCTTTAATAATTTTTTTGAAAGGAGAGAGAAGAAGAAATGTTGGTGAGGATGTGGAAAATTTTGAATACTCATATATAGCTAGGGGAAGTATAAAACGGTACAATTCCTGTGGAAAACATTCTGGCAGTTCCTCAAAAAGTTAAACATAGAATTATCATGTTGTTGTTGTTATGTGCCATCGAGTTGGACCCAACCCATAGCGATCCCTCCTTGGGTTTCTGAGGCGGTATCACTATGAAAGTAGATTGCCCAACCTTCCTTCTGGAGAGTGTCTGGTGGGTTTGAATCGCCTGCCTTCTGTTTAGCAGTCAAGTGCCTTAGGCACTACACTACCAGAGACTTATCATATGACCCAGCAATTCCCTTCCTAGGTATATACCCAAAAGAACTGAAAAGAGGTGTTCAAACAAAAACTGTACATGAATATTCATTGCAGCACTATTCACAATATCCCAAAGCAGAAACAACCAAAATGTTCATCAACTAACAAATGGATAAATAAAATAATCCATACAATGGACTATTATTCAGTCACAAAAAGTGATGAAGTAATGATACAAGCTACAACATAGATGGCCCTTGGAAACATTAAACTATGTGAAAGAAGTCAAACACCAAAGGTCACATACTGTATGGTTCCATTTATATGAACCAGAATAGGAAAATCCAGAGTGAAAGGAAGCAGATTAGTGGCTTCCAGAGGTTGAGAGGAAACAGAGAGTGACTGATTAATGGGTGTAGGGTTTCCACAAGGGTGATGAGGCTCTGGAACTGGAGAGTGGTGACTGTTGCATGACCTTGTGGGACTTAATGTCACTGAGCTGTACACTTTCAAATAGCAAAAATGGTCAATTTTATGTTATGTGTACTTCACCACAATAACAACAACAACAACAAAGTCAAATCACCTAAACAGGAATTCAAGCCTTGCCCAGAAGTTAGGATGTCAGAGTATGTATGTTTGTCAAAATGCAACAAATTCACACTTTCCATTTTTGCATTTCATTATATGTAATTTTTACCTCAAAAAAAATTTTAAATAACTATAAATATATCAAACTCTAGTAATACTATACATGCAAAATCATTTTGGAGGAAGTGTACCGATGTCTGCAACTTACTTTGAAATGCATCAAAATATATTAAATACACTAATGGATAGGAAGAGGAATGGATAGATACATGATACAGTGAAGTATAATAAAATGTTAGTTATAAAATCTAGGTGGTGGGTATATGAGTATTCTCCGAAAATTCTTTTAACTTTGCTGTAGCACTGAAATGTTTCGTAATAAAATGCTGAAAAAGAAAAGAATGAGTTGTCAGTACCTAGGTGAAAAATATGGGTATATGTGTGTAAAGGGGAAGAGAGGATGGGCAATATATTCTAAGAGGAAATTGTGTGTACAAAGAGGCAACCAAAAGGAGATTCCTCAAAATCTCTCAGCTCTAACTTTTATGATATTCTTTTATTTGACCACTTCATCTGTCAACCACATTATCCTGCTCATTCTTTCCAAGATTTCCAAGCTATATGGGCTTACCAACTACCCATATACTTCTCTACATTTCCCATCCACTACTGCATTATATTGGGATTGTCTGAACATTCTGGCCAATGGACTATGAACAGAAGTGTTGTGTGTCCCTTCCAGGCTGCAGTAGTTAAGAGCCAACGTATCTCCTTTGTCTTGCCTGACACAAGAGTGCTAGAAGCTTCGTGCTTCAGATGAAGGAGCTACAAGGAGACAGACCACCCAAACACATCAGACTATATAATGTGAGCAAGAACCAAATTTGGCTGTGTTAAGCCACCGAGATTTCAGGTTTAGTTGGTACTATAATGGCTTAACTGACCAAATGTTGTTGTTGTTGTTGTTGTTGTTGTGTGCCGTTGAGTCGGCCCCAACTCATAGCGACCCCTCCTTGGGTTTCCAAGGCAGTATCACTAGGGAAGTAGGATTGCCCAACCTTCCTTCCAAGGAGTGGCTGGTGGGTTTGAACCTCCAGCCTTCTGGTTAGCAGTCAAGTGCTTTTAGCCACTATGCTACCAGAGCTCCTAACTGACCAAGTAGTAAAAGTAAAAAATGTATCATCAAAAGCAAAATGTGTCATGCTCTTCTCCAGGGACTATCTGCCTGGTCTGAACTTCTTATACCCCAAACTCCATTAACTTATTGGTGCCGAGTCAATTTGGATTCATGGTGACCCCATGTGTTACAGAGTAGGGCTGTGCCATTGGGTTTTCTTGACTGTGATCATTACAGAAGCAGATTGCCAGGCCTTTCTTTCACAGAGTTGCTGGGTGGGTGTGAACCACCCACCTTTAGATAAGTGTTGTTGTTGTTGTTATGTGCCGTCAAGTCGGACCCAACTCATAGCAACTCCTCCTTGGGTTTCCAAGGTGGTATCACTATAGAAGTAGATTGCCCAACCTTCCTTCCAAGGAGTGGCTGGTAGGTTAGAACCGCCAGACTTCTGGTTAAGCAGTCAAGTGCCTTAGGCACTATGCTACCAGAGCTACTTTTAGATAAGTAGTTGAGCACAAACCACTTGTGTTACTCAGGGACTTTATACTCACAAGGTCTTGTTAATGTACCTTGGCAGTGCTATGTAGTCTAATATTAACCTGGATCAAGAGAATATTTCATATTTCATCAATTCAGTATAAGAATAATCTTTAAGAATATTCTCTGCTCTATTTTATAGCTGCGAACATACTTCAGATATATTAACAAAAGAAGGGCAAGATTATAAATGGACATTATCAGTACTATTTCACAACTCAGTTCTAATCATTTTCCTCATAAAATAAATAGCTAGGATCTAACCTTGAATGTGCCTAAGGCACTTGACTGCTAACCAGAAGGCTGGAGGTTCAAACCCACCAGCCACTCCTTGGAAGGAAGGTTGGGTAATCTACTTCTGTAATGATACTATTTCGGAAACTCAGGGAGGGGTTGCTATGAGTTGGGTCTGACTCGATGGCACATAACAACAACAACCTTAAATGTAATCCAAATTTTATTCTACAGGAACCAGGATTTCTAGCCAAAGAGAATAAACTAGGACAGCCTTTATGAGTTGTCCTTCCTAAAAGCAGAGCCCACCATCTGGAAACCCACCTCTGAACAGATGTAGAAGGGATATGCTTCCTCCCAACCATCGGCGTCACCCCTATGACAAGTCTATCCATAGCATCTATCTAGGGTTTTGTTTTGTTTTCAACTGGACTATGGGTGCACTTACAAAACTCTTCACCATCTTCAGCTTGGTAGAATATGGTGTAGTTGTTGATGAAGCCTCTTGTCTTATTCTTAGGAATTTCTTCCCATGTTATTGTGACAGTGTTCACACCAATGTTTTCAACCTTTGTTGTGGGACCTCTTGATGGAACTTTAAAAGATAGAAAGCCAAATAAACCTCAATCATACTCTAGCAGGTCCTTCCTCCATAAAGGCTCTGATGGACACCCAAATGAAGTCAGACCAAAACCACAGTGCTGGGGCTGGGAGGCTGGGGCAGAATAGGGAATCAATGAATCTGCCTGTTTGAGAAAATTGTTTTCTGGAACCATTCATCCTGAAAGGGATCAGATGAAGTGTTAAGACCACAAAAAAACTACTTTCTTAAAGATCTCTCACCACAACTTGATACCTAGCTCTTTTACTCATAACTGTGAAGTGTTGTTGTTGTTATTGTGCACTGTCGAGTTGGACCTGACCCATAGCGACCCCTCCTTGGGTTTCTGAGGCGGTATCACTATGGAAGTAGATTGCCCAACCTTCCTTCCGAGGAGTGGCTGGTGGGTTTGAACCACCAGCCTTCTGGTTAGCAGTCAAGTGCCTTAGGCACCACGCTACCAGAAGTGTAGATATTATCAAACAGTTGAAGTATATGCTTATATGCCTACATGGGCTACTTTTGAGATATAGGAGGTATTTCCCAATGTTGAATGGAAAGGTACATTTGGAAGATGTTAACTTCCAAAAAGATAAAAATAAAATCTGAGCAGTTCACCAGTAATAAATAATTATCTGACATTTTAAATTTATTCTGTACCAACATCAAAACCAAACTCACTGCCGTCAAGTTGGATTCGACTCATAGCAACCCCTCCTTGGGTTTCCAAGGCAGTATCTCTGTGGAAGTAGATTCCCAATCTTCCTTCTGAGGAGTGGCTGGTGGGTTTGAACCACCAGCTTTCTGGTTAGCAGTCAAATGCCTTAGGGCTTAATTAAATGCTATTTCTGGTTGGAGTTCTAGTCACACTAAGTTTCTGTATTCCTTTGAACAAGTTATTTCACCTCCCTGGGCCTCAATTTTCCATTTAGAGAATCAGGAGATTGGACTTGATTTCTAAAGTCTTGAAATTTAGTGAATCTATAACCTGACCACAATTGAGGGACACAGACAGCTTAGATAAGCTGAAGATGCAGCAGGGATGGGTCCGAAGGGGACCATGAATGAGCTCCAATGATCCACAGCCATATCTAAATGTTGGACAAGCCTCATTGTTTCCTTTTCCCCACAGGTCCCTGCCCACACATACCTCCTTCTTTGACATAAATCTGGATGGAGTAAGGCTCGCCAACTCGGTCTTGAAACATTGGATACACAGAGATGTTATAGCACAAGAAAGGTTCTAAATTATCTGTAAAAAAGGAGGGGGGAAGCAGGCATAAGTGCCAAGCATTGCATAGTGGAAGGAACTCTCTCTACTGGAAGTTATGGCTCTTAAACAAAACCAAACTAAAACCGAACTCACTGCCATTGAGTTGATATCAACCCATAGAGACCTACACCAGTTTTCCAAGGCAGTAAATCTTTACAGAAGCAAACTGCCTCATCTTTTTTCCACAGAGCAGCTGATAGGTTTGAACCACCAACCTTTTGGTTAACAGCCAAATGCCATAACCACTGCACCACCAGAGCAAAATATTTCTATATCTGCAAAATAAGGGGGTTAGGTTTGATGGTCTCTAATGGCTATCCTACATACAGGCATATCTCATTTCATTGTATTTCACGTTCTTGTGCTTCACAGATACTGCATTTTTTTACAATTGAAGGTTTGTGTCAACTGTCCATTGAGCAATTCTATTGGCACCATTTTTCCAACAGCATGTGCTCACTTTGTGTCTCTGTGTCACATTTTGAAAATTCTCACAATATTTCTAACTTTTTTTCATAATGCTATTGCACACTTAATAGAATACACTATAGCATAAACGTATCTTTTGCATGCACTCCAAAAATGTGTGTGACTCACTTTATTGCGACATTCACTTTATTGCGGTGGTCTGAAACCAAACCCACAATAACTCCAAAGTATGCCTGTGTAGAAAATTCTAAAGAATACAAATGCATGCACACACAAAAAAACTTAGAACTCATAAATGAATTCATATTGCAGGATACAAGATTAATGTAATGTGAAAATGAAATAAGGCAAATCCATTTACAATAGCATCAAAACGGAAAATATCAATTCCAGTTCAGTTTCAAGATTTTCTAATGAATTCCAAGAACTAAACCTTATAGCTCCCTAACAAAAAGACAGAGCTATCCAAGAAGACAGAAGTAAGAGATGCAAGCCCTTCTCCAGCACTGATTTTGTCATATGATCTGGGGGTGCTGCAGAATAAAGCTTAATCCTTCTGTCAATAGCACACTGCACTAGAGAACTCAGATAGTGTAATTGCTACTTCTCTGTCTTTCTGTATCCCTGCATGAGTATACTTTTAACGTAAAAGCCACTGCCATTGAGCTGATTCCAACTCATAGAGACCTTATAAAACAGCATAGATCTGCCCTGTAGGGTTTGCAAAGCTGTAATCTTTACTGAAGCAGACCTTCTGGTTAGCAGCCAAGCAAGCAATTTAACCACTGCACCACCAGGGCTCCTTTATTTATTAATATCAGTGTTATTAAGCATTAATAAGTGGTTGGACTAGTAGGACTGAAAAGGTACAGCCTCACTTGTGCCTACACCAGGCAGGGGAGTTTACTTTGTAAAGAAGGCCATTCCTTCCTGTCATCATTCATTTGGGGAGGGGGCATAGCTCTTAAACCACAATGAGAACAGAAGGGAATGCTTTAGGTGGAGAACTGGCTGATGAGCAAGATATCTGGGTAGGCCTCTCTGATGATTGTTGTTGTTAGATCAGCGAATTGGCTCCGACTCATAGCGACCCCATGTACAACAGAATGAAACACTGCCCAGTCCTGTGCCAGCCTCACAGTACTTGCTATATATGAGCCCATCATTGTATCCACTTGTCAATCCATCTTGTTGAGGGCCTTCCCCTTTTTCGTTGACCCTCCACTTTACCAAGCATGATATCCTTCCCCAGGGAATGGTCTTTCTGACAACATGACCAAAGTAGGTTAGAGGAAGTCTGGTCATTTTTACTTCCAAGGAGCATTTTGGCTGCACTTTTTCCAGGACAGATTTGTTAGTTCTTTTAGCAGTCCATGGTCCTCTCAGTATTCTTTGCCAGCATCACAACTCAAAAGCATCAACTCTTCTTCAGTCTTCCTTATCCACTGTCCAGCTTCCACATGGATATGAGGTAATTGAAAATACCATGGCTTGTGTCAGGCCCACCTTAGTCCTCAAAGAGACATCTTTGCTCTTCAGTACTTGAAAGAGGTCTTTTGCAGCAGATTTGCCCAGTGCAATATGTTGTCTGATGTCTTGACTGCTGCTTCCATTGGTGTTGATTGTAGAACTGGGTAATAAGAAGTCTTTGACAACTTCAATCTTTTCTCCATTTATCATGATGTTGGTTATAGGTCTGGTTGTGAGGATTTTTGTTTTCTTTATGTTGACGTGTAATCCATACTACAGACTGTAGTTTTTAATCTTCATCAGTAAGTGCTTCACATCATTTTCACTTTCAGCATGCAAAGTTGTGTCATCAGTGTATCACAGGTTGTTAATGATTCTTCCTGATGCCAAGCTCTTCTTCATATAGTCCAGCTTCTCAGATTATTTGCTCATCATACAGATTTAACAAGTATGGTGAAAGAATATAGTGTTTCACTGCTATTCATAATGTTTTTCCCCAGCCAATTCTTAGAGAAGTGGATGGTCTCCTTCCTTCTTCCAGTGGTGATGGTGGGTGTTAAAATAGCGTTTTCCACCTGAAGAGGCACTGGAATTGAGAAGTAAGGAACTCAGTCACAGAGCCTCTAAACCTATACTGAGGCCTTAGGGTAAACAGGCAGATATCACAAAACTTCCATGAAAGATGAGAGAAGACCAGTCAGCTACATACCAGTTGAAATCTGTTTTTGGAAGGGACACTTTTTGTATTTCTATATTTTCCTGTTGATCTCCCTTCCCACTGCGACACAATATAGCAGGGGTATTCAAGCTGGACTACACATTCTCCTGGACATACTCAACTTTTCAAGGGTACCTGGGTGTGCCCAGATCAGGTTTCATTTGCACTTTCCAGCACTTGCCTGTGGTAGGGTCGTTTATGCCACTTCTCACTTTACAGGAGAAGTTTCTCCCACTTTACAAAAGAAAGACACTCCTCTCACCCTGGGTTATATGACTATAATGCATTTCCCCAGGGCAATTCAAAGTGTTGGTGTCACAAAGCTTTTTTTAACCAAGGAAATATAACCCTGCAAGGAGCTCTGGTGGTGTAATGGTTAAAGCGCTTGGCTGCTAACTGAAAGGTTGTCCGTTTGAACCCACTAGCTACTCCAAGGGAGAAAGATATGACGGTCCACTTCTGTAAAGTCTTGGAAACCCTATGAGGCAGTTCTACTGTGGACTTGATGGCAACGGGTTTGGTTTTGGATAAACCTGCAGTCCTTGCATTCCTTGCCTTATACATTTTTCTATTGAGCACAGAGAATAGTATGAGAAACAGGGTATTTTGACCTATGTTGGTTCTGAATTCAGATACATTATAGCATGAAGTGGTAGGAGAGATGAAATTTCTGTTTAATAATCTTTCTACTTCCACTCATTGACTATTGTCAATGAAGGCATCATTCCTGGAGGAGAGTTCCATGAGTTTGCTGCCAAGACACATGAAACCATCTTGCTTGCCATCTCTCTCTCTCTCTTTCTCTTTTTTCTTTTATGGTATATTCAGATTCTTTAAAAATTATATTTTTGTAAAGACAATTAAGAGTATAAGTAAAACTGTAAATAAGGTTAACATTCTCATGTAGTCACAAAGCTGGCTTTGGAAACCTTGGGCGTTAACATTGCTAAACGCAAAGCCAGAAATCAAGCACAACTATACAAAGCTTCCTGAACTCATCAAGTTGTAGCCAATAGATGATGAAACATCATTTTTGAAGGTAGACCCCTTTGTAACTGTTGTCGTCTATCTCAGAAAGAACTAAATGGCATTGCTAAAACAAAGCTTCATCTACCCCATCTACTGACCTATGTGAGCAATGTTTTTGAACACATACAACTATAAAAATGAGAATAAAGTTGATGTTCATCCCTACCAGTAAAACATCATCATCAAGAGTTAAAAAAAAAAAAAAATGGAGAAAATCCCTTCTATTTCATTAGGAAATTTATTTACAATAAAATGTTACTTTTTACCTTTAGTAATCTGTAGCCAAATTTCTACACGTTTACATTGTTTTCATCAATTGTGTGGCATCAAATTGTGTGAGCAGAAAAATATTTTTAAAAGTACAGGCTTAGGATCACAAGAAATTTTTCAAAGTTGGATTTCAACACTTTGGCAATTTTTATTGAGGGGCAATATGAGAGAATGATCAGTAAAAGCCTTTCATGTATAAAATTACTGTAGGGAGTGGAATGAGAATATAAATTCAAGAGCAAAAAGGATAACAAAAGTTTCTGACTCTTGTAACGTATTTTTGTTAATGTATTTTTTTTTTAAATGAATGATTGAAAAAAAAAAAAAGAAGAAGACTCACTGCCATTGAGTCGGATCCAACTCATAGCGACCCCTCCTTGGGTTTCCAAGGCGGTAGCATTACGGAATTAGATCGCCCAATCTTCCTTCCAAGGAGTGGCTGTCAAATCTCCATAGTATTTAGATTCCAACTGATATATTTTTAAAAGTGTTATAATAGTATTATTTAAAGTATTTATATCCTTTGCATGACTTAAGCTTAAGATTTAAATATTTTCAGGTTATATTAAAAATTTTGAGGAAATACATAGTTTTTCAAATGTCTATTGGCAGGATGCAAGCCAGTGCTGAGCAAAGCAGTTAGGAGCTCAGGGTCTGGGTTTGTACCCCACCTCTGCCACCTACCTATGTCTCTTGGGTGAGAGCCTTTACAAGCCTGTCAGCCTCTTCATCTGTAAAATGGTGATGATAAAAGTCCCAACCTCAGGGGTTGCTGTGAAACTTAATCGAGGTAGGCCTAATCAAAACTCAATCCATGTCATTTTGATTGTCACCATTTCAGCCTGAATCAGCTGAGCTAAAGGGACTATAGGGAAAAATTTGTGCTCATGTTGGAACATCACCATAAAGGGGAAAAAGGAATCTCTAAGGTCTAGCAAGGAGCTCTGGTAGCATAGTGCCTGAGGCATTTGACTGCTAACCAGAAGACTGGTGGTTCAAACTCACTAGGCACTCCTCAGAAGGAAGGTTGGGCAATCTACTTCCATAGTGATACTACCTCAGAAACCCAAGGAGGGATCACTATGAGTCAGATCCGACTAGACAGCAGTGAGTTTGGTTTTGATTTAAGGTCTAGAAACACTTGGAGAATCCTTTTCTGGCCTAATTGGCAAGTCTGGAGTTCATTGGTTAATAAGAAAGGTGATTTCCTTTCTACCTCCCACTTTTACTTAAACTCAATTGGGACTGGTACTGCTCTGAAAACTTCCCAAGACATCTGCTTGTTCGTGGAGGCATTTTCCTCACCCTGCCCTATTCCCAAATGTAGATGTACATGCAGTACAGATATACAGATTTGAACTTCATACATCAGACAAAAAAAAAATCACTCACAGGCTTCCCTAGAATTTCAGCTACCCAGAAGCGTGCCACCACTTCCTGTCCTAGCCTTGCTGGGAAATGCCAACAAGTATGTCACTTGAGCTGTTGCACTAGCTTGTCAAATACTATATTAACCACATGTACAGCTTTTGAAGCCAAAGTTAAAACTTAAAACCTCATGAAAATGAAACTGAATCCTGCACAAAGGGAACGTGAGTGTTCCACATTCCTACCTTGCTGAATTGTCCAGTTCCTGGTCTGAGACACAGATTCCCAGGAAAAGGCAGCGGGCTCTGAGTCCAAATCTGGGACCCACTCAACTATCCACGTCTCCACCTCTGGAGCAGAGCTTTGCCACTCCACCACCAGCTGGTCCTGAGTGAGGTAGGCCTGCATGGCCTCAATGCACCAGGATGCTGAAAGGCAAGAGAAGATTTGTTCCACAGCTACCCAGCTCATCCCCCACATGCACCAACCACACTGACACACATTCATTGCACAAAATTGCAAAGAAAGTCAAAGTTCAGCTTCTGCACTGCCCATTGTAGTAGAGATGATTCTGACTCATGCCAACCCTAAATGTTTCAGAGTAAAATGCATTCCATAAAGTTTTCAAGGGTTGTAATCTTACAGAAGTCCATCATCTTGCCTTTCTTTTCATGGCTGCTGGGTGGAAATTCAAACCAATTTTTTGGTTGGTAGTTAAGCACAAATTGCACCACCAAAGAAATTTTCTCCACTGTAGCTTCCCCTTGCTGTGCTGCTTTCACCCGTTTTATTGTATTATTTTTCATTATTCCTCACCTCTGATGTTTAAATACTTTTTTAATCTTTCTTCACCTACCAAAGCATTACTTGTTCCCAGAAAAGGATCTCACTACAGGGTTGATGACTAAAAAGATTTACCTTCCACTGGAGTCTCTGCAGTGGAAAAGGAAACCAAACAAAGGATGGATCCCTAACAGTACAATTTCAAGCACCAGTAACTGCTTGGCTGGAGAGCTGGGAGAACATGATCCTAAAATCATACTCAGGAGATGGCCTCAAATTTCCATGGTTCAGGCTGGCCCTATACAAACTGGGTATGGATTTCTATTCTCAAGCCAGTAAGAATTGTGTACAAAGATACAAAAACACTCATCTAATCCACTTACATAGGGACCCATCTGTATATCTTAATATTTTCTGCAGGCCTGGCAGAAAACTCATCTCTGGGAAAAAACCACCAGGATTCCTTTCATAGGAAAGTTGACCAAGTTGGCTTCAAATCCAATATTTTGACTACACAGATGAGAGCAAAAACTATTTGGAGCAGTACGGCTATCACTGGAGGTGCAGTAAGGCAAAAATAGGGGGCATGAGGTGGATGAGGTTCAAGAAATTAGTGTATATTTCCCCTTCCCATATGCTCACCACACACAACACAGCCAGCCTTCAAAACTGGAATCCACATGAAGTGTGTTTAAATGAGCATCAAAGATAGTCTGAGATAGGGGCAGAAGAGATCAACCAACCAGTCAACCAGTTGCCATTGAGTCAATTTCATTCGACTCATGGCAACCCCATGTGTTACAGAGTAGAACTGGGCTCCATAGGGTTTCAATGCTTTGATCTTTCAGAAGTAGATTACCCAGTCCTTCCTTTCTCCTGAGGCACCACTGGGTATATTTGAACCACTAATCTTTTGTTTAGTAGTTAAATATTTAACCATTTGCACTACCTTGAGAGTCTAAAAAAGGACACTATATTCTTCTACTAAACCAAAAAGCTTTTTGAAGCTCAAATCCTGCACCAAGTGCAGGAGTTTAGAGTAGGGCTGGGAATGGTGAGTCTTGTTCTTTCTAAGCAACACGTCCCAGCAGGCTGATGTATGTTTACAAATCTCTGTTTTCATAAGTCATAGTTTATAGATCCTTTTCCCAGACTGAGCTTTCATGAGATACATACCAGCTGCAAGTCCTAGAAGAAATGTGTCATGGATTGAATTGTGTAGTCCCCCCCCCCACACACACACAAAATACATGTCAATTTGGCTAGGCCATCATTCTCAGTAGGTTGGCAGTTATATAATGATGTAATTATTCCCCATGATGTGATCTGATGTGATCAGCCAATCAGTTATATGGGATTAGGGTGGGATGCAACAACATTGCTCAGGTCATAGTCCTGATCTGATGTAAGGAGAGTTACCCTGGGGTGTGGCCTGTTTATCTTAAGAAAGATTAAAGAAAAAAGAAGTGAGCACAAATCAGAAGGACCTGACTACCACCAAGAAAGCAGAGTCAGGAGCAGAGTGTGTCCTTTATGCTGGGAACCTCCCGGACCCAGGGAAAGACTGACTCCAAGACACATGGAGATCTCCAAGGGATGCCAGATACTGAAAGGAGGCAAGGACCTTCCCCTAGAGTGGACAGAAAGAGAAAGCTTTCCTCTAGAGCTGGTGCCCTGAATTTGGACTTCTAGTCTCCTAAACTATGAGAAAATAAATTTCTATTTGTTAAAGCCATCCACTTGTGTTTCTCTTATAGCAGCACTAGAGAACTAAGACAAAAGGCCAGGTAATTTGTCAACCTGAAAGAGTACTCTGAGGAAGGGTAACTGAGACATGAAGGAAATGTGAGGTTGAAGTAGGAGTGGGGCCCAAGCAAGAGACACAGAGCCAGGAAATGAATACCACCTAATGCCCAGGACTCCTACTTCCCCCTCTTGCCCACCCCTGCTCACAGTCTCTATGGGTTCTCAGTTGTAGTTCCAGTCCAGGCTGTCATTGCCAGAGCCCTCAGAACCACCTAGCCTCTTGTAGAAGACAACATTGGTGCTCCACCTAGGTTCTGGCAGAGCCCCTTCTACTACTTTTGTGTTTTGCTTCGGTTTATCTAACTTTGAGATGTAACTTATACTCCAGTGTCCCCCTGCGGGCTCAGGCTGAAACCAGCCTCTGTAGGACTTTTATCTCAGATCCCACTTTTGGCTCAGCTTCCTCTCCTTCCCAGATTGCTTCCCTCACTCCTTTTCCAGTCTCCCTGGAGGCACTTTCTTAGTAAATCACTAGCACACTGACTTGAAGACTGGAAGGAATGTTCCTGTCTCTACACTCCTTTTTTACCAATATTGGAACTCCGAGGAATAGGAGAAGTTGGGTTTAAAGGGCCAAATGTGCTCCAGGGAGAGAAGGAAACAAGTCAAGGCTCTTGTCCACAGGGGTGTGGAAAAGATTCAATCAAGTCATGAGTCAAACTTAATGAGCTGGGCAACATTAAGGGTGCTGAGAGAAGTTTCCAAATTACTATTCTACTGAATATAAACTAATTGCTGAATCCTCCCATCATTCAACAAGAACTTTTTAAGCAATTACTCCAAATACAATACCTCCCCAGGTGCAGCAGGAAATAGACAAGGTAGAAGATTCTTCCTGGAAGAAGGGAAAGGGGCTTTGAGTGTGAACAACAGTAATTTCTTTTGATTTCTGTGAAGACAGTCATTTGAGGTCTATCATATAGTTTTCAGATGTTGGTGATAGCTCACCTTTGTCAGTTCTCCCAGCCCAACCTGATCTGCACCCCGATTCAGTGCCAACCTTCTGCTCAGTGGCCGTGCTATTCTAGGCCTTTTGAGACCACTCCACAGCTGCTCGCTGGTTGAGTTATGGTAGAACTCAGAGGATGTTTAGGTCACAAATAACCTAAAGGATTAGCTCCTTCAATCCATTAATTTACAGACGGGAATATGGAGGCCTGCAGGGTAAACAGCCAGCTCAGTGTCACAAAGCATCTGTGATCAGAATTCTAAGTCACTCTGATAATACAAAGTCCAAGATTCTGGATGAAGTACACATCTGGAATCATGCAGTATGGGCCTTATATGCCACTGAGAGCCTTTGAGCAAATTACTAAGCTTTCCTGAATCTCAGTTTCATCATCTATAAAATAGATCTAATAACATGTACCTCATAGGGTCATTTTGAGGGTAAAGCTGTATTATCTTAGTTTAATGCCTGACACATACTAATGACCAATATATGATAGTTACACTTATAACAATTATTATTATAACCATTCTCCAGTTGACACTATAAAACACAATTCTGTAGGACATTACTTTCTTATATGCCTATTAACAGGAGTCTGCAAGCATTTTCTTTAAAGGGCCATATAGTAAACGTTTTAGGCTTTGCGGACCAGGTGGTATCTGTCACAACTACTCAGCTCTCCCACTGTTGTGGGAAAGGAGCCATTGACAATACACAAACAGAAGTGGCTGTGTTTCAAAAAGCTTTATGAATAAAAGCAGATATCCGGCAAAATTTGGCACACAGGCCATAATTTGTCAATCTCTGGGCTAGGACAATTATAACTGCTGACCATACTGATACTTCTCACACAAAGTAAGTACCTTTACAATTGGAGGGAAAATGTCTAAGTGAATTTAACATAAAATAAAAAGTATACTTTAGAATAAAAGTGTTAAAAATTTAATGTAAATTAAAATTGTTAATCCATGTCCAGTAGAAATTTTATTAATCAGAATTTTTATTAAGAATAAAACTAATAATAATTAGCACTAGACAACACATTTTGAATGCACAATCTCATTTAAACCTCACAACATCTCTGAGGTACGTACTACTATGTACTAACCCCATTTTAAAAGTAGCTAAGGCTTAGAGAAGTTAGGTAACTTGCTCAAGGTTACATGGTATCTAGTGGAAGAGCAAAAACTTGAACCTCGGGTTGTTGGACACTAATGCACATGCTTTTATCCCATGCTCTTTAAAAATCTCCTATTATCCACACCAGGAAATTGAGATTATAAATTAACAAAGAATGTGCATTTCAGTGACACATTCATCTGTCAGGAACTTTCTTAGAAGTATTGGATGGGCAAGAATTAGGTTGTCAGGAACCAGGCATTGTGGGGGATATATTAAATACTAACTAAAGTAACACCAGGAGCTCTGGTGGCATAGTGCCTAAGGCACTTGACTGCTAACCAGAAGGCTGGTGGTTCAAACCCACCAGCCACTCCTCGGGAGGAAGGTTGGGCAATCTACTTCTGTAGTGATACCGCCTCGGAAACCCAAGGAACGGTCATTATGAGTTGGATCTAACTTGACAGCAGTGAGTTTGGTTTTATTGTTGTTGAAAATAATACCAGAAGTCTCTGAGTGATGCAAATGGTTAATGCACTCGCTGCTAACCCAAAGGTTGGAGGTTTGAGTCCAGAGACACCTCAGAAGAATGGCCTAGCAATCTACTTCTAAAAAATCCACCACTGAAAACACTATGGAACACAATTCTGCTATAACCCAAATGGGGCTCCATGAGTGGCAATCAACTCAACCGCAACTGGTTTTTAAAATAATATCAAGTGAAGATGGAGGAATAGGTAGACAAGTGACACAGACCCTCTTCAACAAGGAAAAGAAAAACCAATTGACAGAGATACAGAAGATTATCCTGGAGCCCTGAGCTTTGAAAGGAACTAGACAGAAATGGATTAGGCACCAACTAGTGGACAAACCTGAATGAAAACAGTGAGTACAGAGACAGTCGGAGCTGCGGACTGTCAGCTACTCTGACGGGACTAACAGCCTGAGTATTTCCAAGTTGTGTTGGGACCTGAGAATTGACCTAAAGATCACCCCTGGTCACCAAGGGCTGCAGGGACGACCGCACTGGTGGCCTATCACTAGGAAGGGAAACAGCAAGGAGGGAGACAACCTGGGCTGTTGACCTTCCGCTGTCTGGAGGGCACAGCCATTTTGAATGTTGATAAGCAGCACCCATTTTGGATATTTAAAGTGACCAAGGGTGCAGCCATTTTGAATGTTTATAAGCAGTGGCCATTTCGGATATTTAAAGTGATCGAGGGTGCAGCCATTTTGAATGTTTACAAGTGGCAACCATTTTGAATTTTAAAGTGATAGCATTCTCATTCGGATTCCAGGGACTTAAGAATAGGCTCTGTTTGTCAAGGTCAGCAGGGACATACAAGAAGGCTGACAACAGGAGAGGAGATAGGTGGTCAGTGTATAAGTGCTGTCAACTAGTGAATAGAGGAGCATAGCACAGTACCCTACTTGCAAAGATAACACACAAACAAAACAAAACAAAAATCATGGGGAAGTCACTCCAACATACAATCACTAATTAAATATAAACACAAAAATGTCACAATGCCTCAGAGAAAATAGAGCATCACAGTCCACACAAAGAAGCAAGATAAAGCAGGAGAAACAAGGGACCAGG